ACGCTCGAGAACGCATAACACAAAATACTTTACCGCCAAATTAATATCTACAAAGCCTCAGCTGCAGTACTCACAAGAACCTCCCCGCTCCTCCTGGCTAATCTTCACACACATAGTCTTGCAGAGAGGGTCCTGTTCAGCTGCACTATGTTGACGGCGACATCTTCCACAAAACGCGTATCCCACTATCTTTTATCAATTATCTCTTTATCTATAATTCCCTTTTAGGTCGACGCAGATTTTGTTTGCATTATTCTACGGCTTTCGTGATGTTGGGTCCATAACTGCCATATTCCGAGACATAATGCATTATAAAGCACGCTTTTCAATGTGATTTGGATCATGCTAATACTGCAATTTTGTTTCATCCATATTCGTCAGGTTTATGCACATCCGTTGTTGAGAGTTTACAGGGATCTCTCTCTCTCTCTCTCCCTCTCTCCTCTCTTTCTCCATTTCTCTCTCTCTCTCTCTCTCTCTCTCTCTCTCTCTCTCTCTCTCTCTCTCCTCTCTCTCTCTCTCTCTCTCTCTCTCTCTCTCTCTCTCTCTCTCTCTCTCTCTCTCATGTCTCTCTTCTCTCTCTCACTCTCTCTCTCTCTTTTCCTTTCTCTCTCTCAATCTATCTATCTATTTATCCCTATTTTTCTCTTTCTCTCAACTCTCTTTCTTTCCATTTTTCTTTCTATCTATTTATCTATCTATCTATCTATGTGTATGTATGTACATATGCATGTACGTACGTATGAATGTATGTCTCTCTGTCTGTCTGTTTGTCTTCTCTGTCTCTCTTTTTCTCTTTCTCTTTCTCTCTTCTCTCTTCTCTCTCTTCTCTCTCTCTCATCTCTCTCTCTCTCTCTCTCTCTCCTCTCTCTCTCTCTCTTCTCTCTCTCTCTCTCTCTCTCTCTCTCTCTCTCTCTCTCTGTCTCTGTCTCTCTCTCTCTCTCTTTCTCTTTCTCTTTTCTCTCTTCTCTCTCTCTCTCTCTCTTAAGAATCAATGGGCTTAACAAGGCCCTGGTCTAACCCTTTCAGTTGCCAGTGTTCCGTTGCAGGAGTAGCTGCAAAGAATCCATTGCACCTGCCTTCGCCTCATGTCTCGGTGACGCATTATCATATCGACCTGCAATATTGGATCTTGCAGTTGCTTGTGTGGAAATGTTGCAATTTCAACCACGAGGAATATTGTGTCCGTTTCGAGTGCGGTTGCAGTGTGTGGTGAGGCAGTGATAACAATACGTGTTGGGGGAAAATTAAGGGGAGATTGTAACGATATATGGATGAACCTGATGGTGGAGTGATGGTGAATAATGGTGTAAGATTGCAGTGTCTTTTGTCCATTTTTTTTTTTTTTTTTTTTTTTTTTTTTTTTTTTTTTTTTTTTTACATTGGTGTGGTTAACATGACCTCAGGGATTATCGTCATATCATCTTTCAGTATGATGTTATCAAAGCAAACCATCCTGTAATACAGTAAGAGCATGAGCATATCTCATTACAAATATCTCATAAACATATAGAGGTTTATGTAATTCACACCACAATCATCATAAATATATAGATAACAATATCACGGAAATTGTGAGTACCTACCGTATTGCATGCGCATATGCATATTCAGGCACACAAGCAAGTAATAAAGGCATTAGCATAATCCTTACTCACAAAGTATAATACAAATTGTTTATGTGATTTGACTGAAAACAAAAATTATGCACGCAAATTGCCGCCTGTGTTACTGACTTGCAGTCTCGATGCATAATGTTATTATTATGCAGAGAGAGAGACAGAGAGAGAGAGGGGGGGGGAGGGAGACGGGAGAGAGAGGGAGAGGGAGAGAGGAGAGGGAGAGGGAGAGGAGAGGAGAGGGAGAGGAGAGGGGAGAGGGAGAGGAGAGGGAGAGGAGAGGAGAGGGGAGAGAGAGAGAGAGAGAGAGGAGAGAGAGAGAGAGAGAGAGAGAGAGAAGGGATAGAGAAGAATATAGAAAGAGAAAGAGAGAAATATAGAGAAAGAAGAGAGAGGGGAGAGAGAGATAGAGAGATAAACGCAATGTAGATAGATAGATAGATAGATAGAGAGAGAGAGAGAGAGAGAGAGAGAGAGAGTAGACAAGCAGACCGAAATAGCCAAAAAGATTAGAAAGAAACGAAGAACTGATAGAAAGAACACTAGCGAAAGATAAAAGCAAAACAGTTACAGGTATGAGTTCCCAGCCCCCCTCCCCCCGCCACCTCCCCGCTCCATATCTGGCAGAGATACGTGTCCAACGAGAAGCTCCACTGTCTTTCATTACTATCATTAGCCATCTGTTTGTTTGAGTCGGTTTAATTACTTTGGCGTTGAACTATAATTACTAGCTTTTGTTATCATTAGCGCCACATTAAAAAAAGAGACTATAATGGTAACTTCCGTAATCATCTGTAATAATACGTAATAACACGAAAGGAAAAAAATGCTGATGTTCATAGAAGTAGTTTGGAAATTCAGTTTATTAAAGGGTCTGTATG